CGTTCCGCCAGCACCTGTGACCGGCATCTTCAGAGTGCAGGAGCACAGACAGGAGCAGTTCTCTCTGTGCCCAGGGGTGGGGAACTTGTAACCTTCCGGTTATTGCTCTTCAAGAGGACTATCAGATTGGAGCTGCAGAAATGCAGATGGTCATTAAGAGCAGCAAGGTGTTCGGTTTTGTTTTATCCCTTTGCTACCATCTCATGGTTGTCCAGATTCTTGCAGCCCAGATCTTGTAGCCATAGTGTACATTTTCTATAATCTCTGGGGCGTTGGAAATTGGCAGCACTGCTTGGGACCAATGGAAGCTGGAGTCCAAAAACATCTGAAAGCCCACATGTTGGAATGGAGTAGGGCGAGACTTCATTGAAGAGATAAAACTTCCCATGAAATGCTGTGTAGATCTGATTGGAACTAAGATCTGTGGATTCAAATCTTAGGCTGCAGTTGGATATTCATTTATGTGGCTGGGACACAGTTAAACCTCTATAATTCTGTGGAGTTGATTTTTGAGGAGCCCACATTGTTCTATTTAACATAGTATATATATTATGGATTGTTACTCTTTTTAACTATTTAAACACACATTAAAGTTCAGTAGGGAGATTTCTCCTCTTATGTCTCATTTCTCCTCTTGTTCTTGCCCTAGGCTCTCCTGAAGTCTCAAGTGCAGAGACTTGCACTCAAAAATTAGTAGTATTTAAGCATATCCCCTGCCTTCTCTTGGCATTCAGTGGTCTTGACTTGATTTTCTCTTTTGCTCTTATATATTCCTATTCCTTGCCTTTTCCCTTTTACAGTGATGACATTCAGACATTCAGTTTGATTGCAGTTCCCTGTCAAAGAGGAGCTTAGCCTTAACCCCAAGGATTTGTGTGGATGTATACCAAATTATTGATATGATTGATACAGATGCCCTTCTCAATATAATGAGCCTGGGCAGCTAACAATATATAAAAACATGCCAAGAATATAACACAAAAGCAAAAATTGTAATTTAAATATCTATAGCCAAGAAAAACAAATACATTAACAAAATAATTAAATGCACATAAATGATACAATCCAACTGAGGCTCCTAATATCCCATACGGAGGAAAAAAACAAACTAAAATTGCACACCAGGCTGAACTAACATCCTGACTCAATATCTGAAGAAGGAAACATCTTCAAGGCCCTACAGAAAGCTAAACAGGGTTGGGGCTATCTGAATTGGGGGTTGGGGGGATGCAGTTTCACAGGGCAGTGACATGCCAGAGAAGCAGGTCTCCTGGATCCCACTAGATGGCATTGTTTCACAGATTGATTAATCATGTGACATCAAGGAGGTGTCAACTCTTAGCAACCACATAGATTTTTCCAGGAGGACCTGTCTTCAACCTGGTCCTTCAGGTCTTCCATTGGTGCACCCATTGCCACTGTAATTGTTCATCTACCTTGTTGCTGGTTGTCCTCTTTCTGTTTCCCACCACCTTCCACAGCATAATAGACTTTTCCAGAGAGCTAGGTTTTTTCATAAAGTAGGATAATTTGAGCCTGATCATTTGTGCTTTGAGAACTCTGGGTTGATTTCTTCAATGATCCATTTGTTTGCTTGCTTGGCTGTTTATGCTATTTTCAGGAGTCTTCTCCAACACCAAGATTCAAAAGCATCAGTACTCTTTCTACCCCTACTCTATTGGATCTGGTGGGACAAGCAGAACAGCCAGAGAAAGACGATCGCCTGTGCCATGTAGGGCTTTAAGGATGATAGCACTTGAACTGCATCCAGAAGCCTATTGGGAGCCACAGGTGTTACACTGTGAAGCAATGGTGTTACATGCTTATACCAGGATAAATAGGAAACCACTATTCATGGTTTGATTATCCTCTTCTTTCGGAATGGCAGCAACCTTAGCAGCAACTGGCCTACTAGCATTTCCCATTTGTTTTGAAGCATAAAAATAAAAGATCCTGAAGTGGCGCACAATCTGGGGAAGTTTGAGTCTCCTCCCCACCTATTTGTGTTCCCAATTCTCCTTCAGGATTTCTGTGAATGAAATAAAGGAGCAATAGCAATGGTACTGTAAGATAGGTTCCACTCTGCAACATTATTTTCCTGGAGAACTAATGGCTTTAATGTGTTTCATACATCATCACCACTCTACCATCAGTATTCAGCAATCATGGTCAGTGGTTGCACTGGGAACCTGAAACAGAGAGTTGGGGGTCACAAGTGTTCTCTCCCAGCTTAGCATATCATACCAAACAATTTTGAGGCTACTTTCATATATCACACTTTGCCATAGTATGTTTTAGTTTAGTTTAGCTGAATAGACTACCATACTTTATGTTATTTATGCAGCATGCTAAGCTAAAAACATGCGTACCTTTTTACGTACATAAAAACACTTTTGTCTTCTGTACTGAACAAAGCTATGACTTGCCAACTGACTGACAAGTTTCATTTGTGTATTATTTATTTATTTATTAAAGTTTTATGCTGCCCATCTCCCCCCCCCCCAAGATTAATTATTAATTGGAAGGTTGCTGTTCTGCCTGGGTTCCGTGATTGCGGGAAAGTAATGTCCAGTATTAATACTTAAACAAGTCAGGCTAATATTTAATAGATGACCATACTTCAGTCACAGGGTCTTCATGTATATGTTTCAATGTCGCATGTGTAGCATAAATAGCAGGCAAGTCAACCATTAACTATTCAACATATTTTAGATAAATTGAGTCTGAGCTAATGGAGCCTTCACAGATTGATGGAAAATATCTGTTTTATTTCCCTTAGTACTATTCAACATATTTTAGATAAATTGAGTCTGAGCTAATGGAGCCTTCACAGATTGATGGAAAATATCTGTTTTATTTCCCTTAGTACTATTCAACATATTTTAGATAAATTGAGTCTGAGCTAATGGAGCCTTCACAGATTGATGGAAAATATCTGTTTTATTTCCCTTAGTTATTTAAATGCATGGGTTTCTTCCTCATAATAGAAGTGGTTTGAAAAAGGAAGTCAAAGCGGAATTTTTGGTATATTGCATTGATAGATATTGATCTTCAAATTTTCACATAGAAGTTTTTCGCACCTAGGCTGAAGACACCAAGGATTGATCCAAACACATTTTGGCATTTATGGTTTTACACAGCTCATCTTCTGACTCTCATTCTGACCTCTTTCAGATATTTCCCTGTATATTACCTCTGACCACAAGAATATTACAGATGGATCTTTAAACGATAACAGGCAGGTTCCTTTTTTGGTAAAGATATAATGTAGATTTATTTTTAAATCTTGATTTATAGAAAAAAAGATACCATACTTTAGTCTTATTTTATAAAAGCAATCAATACTTAATGTCATAACATTACAAATGAATATTTATAACATAGTTTTGGTATTAAAAGGTAACATATCAGCAAACCAATGCAAATCCAAAGTCCAGACTGTCTCCACTTTGGGGAAAAAACTAAGCATTTTTAGACTCATGAGCAGAGGACCTGATAGTGGGTCAGTCTTCTTTCTTCACAATTCTGTCTTTAGCAGATTCAGAGCTTTCTGCATATTTGAATACACTAGGAATAAATAATTTGGAGTCATTATTTTTAAAAAAGTCATTTGCTATTATACAACTTTTACAGACACCAATTTGAATTTTTTGAATTAAACAAGCCGCAAATAATTAAAACCTCACCTTAAATTGATTTGTTAAGGGAAAACTTTTCATGCTTATTACAGAAAGATTTATAACTTGGTTAAATTGTATTATGCTAATTTTGATGAGCTCCTCTTTAGCTTCTTTCAATGCTTTATCTAGGAATGGTTTGTGACTTGTATACTGCAGGGCAGTGGTGTAAAAAGGGTAACCCAGAGGTTCCCTGAGGTGCGCCAGCACCACTTGTATGGGTCTCTTTTTTATTTATTCTTTATTCTTTATCCCGCTTTTCTTTTGTACAATTCAAGGCAGTGTTCATAATGCTCCCTCCTCCTATATTCCCCACAACAGCAACCCTTTGAGATGGGTTGGGCTAAAAGAGAGTGACTGGCCCAAAGTTTCCCAACCAGCTTCTGTGACTAAGGGAGGATCAGAACTCACTGTCTCTCAATTTCTAATCTGGCTCTTTAACCATGACACCAAACTGGCTCTTCTTTCTGATATAGCACACTGGGGGCTTCAGGAGCTTTTCCATTAAAATGCCTGCTCCTTCCCAAAATGGGCCCTGGCCATAGTACTTTTGGAGTGTAGCCCTCAACACGCCATGTAAGGCCTGATAAGAGCCTTGATCCTACAGAAGTTGCACATCCCTAGTGCGGGGCAATATTCATACCACACTGAGTCATAGAAAAACGTGCAACATGGCTAAACTCAGGATTAGACCTTTCAACTGGCTTTCACTTATAGTCATGTAGTCCATTTCTATGAACTATTGTCTTCCTTGATTGGCAGATATTTCCAAGCCATTGAAGTTTTAACTCTTCTGTTTTGGAAGATAGAAGACTGGGGGGAAAAATGGACCCTTATTTTTATACCGTGTCTATATATTGATATGTGTGATGGAATGGTTTGATGAAGGCCGCACTCAGGAAGATAAGCATTTCCTTAGCCCCCAGCAGGAGCGTGGGAAGGTTAAGAAGATGAGACTGGCA